GCTTAGCATGCTGCACAGGGAAGAGCAGCAGGATTTTGTTTAATAATCGTGAATGGGCTTCCATGCAGTGCTGGAAAGGCCAGCAACTGATGCAATAAAAATGTTCAGCCACCCGGATTCCTTGGGAAATAGATTATTCTGGGTGGCAGATTTCCGGATAGCTGGGTAAGACTTCCTTTAAGCTTCTTACCTACTTTTACCATTTGAGATGCAAATCGTTCTAAATTTTGTTAAAAACTTCCTATTTTCCTAAGAAGTTTATGAACATAGTTTAATCTTTTCTTGATAATACAGACTCTTCAACACCGTTAACTGTTATAGAGAAATAAGTGGAGAAAGGGTAGAGGAAGCTGAAATGGTGAGGTGAGGCAGGGCCATCCAAGGATAACAGGCCAGGGGAGCCTGGCTTCCTAACTTGAAGGCTCAGAGATTCAAGCAGTGCCCAGAGCTGGCCAAGTCTCCAGTGATCACAGAAGATATAACTCATAAGGTACGTACTAGGGGGCACTGGGAGGGCAAAAATGTCAATTTTTCTTTTAACTATAACTTCTACGTTTTCCAAAATCACTGGAAATATTGGTGTTATGAAAGCTAGTACATTTTTCCTCAAGCTCCAAAAGAAGTCAAATCCAAATTGGAAACTAACTTACTGATTTATCTTGAGAAATCTCTGTGTCTGGGACTCAAGACTAGTCCTCAAAATTAAAGCCTTCTCTTTTTTATAGGAAGTAGAGAGTAGTGGTTAAGAGCATGGATTCTGGAGCCAAATTACCTGGATTTTAATCCTGGTTCATTTATCTGTGACCTCTGTGTCTCACGTTTCCCATTTGGAAAAAAAGAAGGGTGGAGGAAGACAAGATATTAATAGTACCTGCTTTATAGTACCTTGTTGTGAAGAGCAAATTAATATAAATAAAGCAAAACAGCATTGGGTGTATGATAAGTACTACCAAAAAAATAAATAAGCGCTGTATAAACAGGCCAATATGGGGTGAATCATATTAAAGGATAATTAAAAGAAAAAAACCCCATGAAATCATGACTCTCACATGGTAAAACAAACATGCAAAATTTTATTTAACTCATTCTTGATGTTACAGCTGGGTCAAAGGCGAAGTCAAAGAGCAGACACCTATAGATCAGAAATATTGAAATGGATTTGGAGGGGAACATAAAACTGGCTTTTTTGGGGTGAGAGGGGATCTTATTGTTCTTCCACCAGACAGAACTTATTTGGATGTCTATAGACAAGAATTCCATGCATAGCCATCATCTAAAAGAGCCCTGGAAGGGCAGTGGTTAAACGCTGGGATGTTAACTGAAAGGTCGGCAGTTTGAACCCAGCAGCCCTTCTGCAGAAGAAAGATGCAGCAGTCTGCTTCCGTAGAGATTTACAACCTTGGAAACCCTACGGGGCAGCTCGCCGGAATTTGGCTCAACGGCAATGGTTGGGCTATCATCTAACTACCATTTATAGAGTTGTAAAATAGCTCAAAAGCAAAGTTCAGACACTCCGTAAAATCAGATAACCCGGAAGGGTGTGCATGGTTTTCCATTGAAGCAGTTTTTTTCCTACAGTCTCTCCTCTTTTGATAAAAATAACCTCAAAGAAAGATTATTCTCAATCACAAAGTAAGGCTGGTCTTAGTAGATTTGGCCTTATAATTTACGTAGGTGGAATGAGAGTGTGATTTACCATATAGGCCTTTTTAAAGTTTGCTCTCCAAACTCTCGAGTTCTGTAGTATTGAACAATTATAAAATGAACTCCTATCTGAAAGTTTTCATAAGGAATTTCAGACTGGATTTTTTGAAGCCTCTGTTATTTACTCGGATTGATACAGCGGCTGCAATAATGGGCTCAAACATAGCTATGATTGTGAAGATGGTGCAGGACGACGCAGCGTATCAGTTTGTTGTACAGAGGGTTGCTATGAGTCCTAACCAACTCTACAGCACCTGATGACATTATTTACAATCTCAAGCCTAGGAAACCAAACTCAAGACACTCTTTGCACCAGGTTTCACCGACGGTACCTATAAATTTGTGTGAATTCCTTACCTCTTAAGGTCTCCAAAATATCCTAATGCTTCTGGCTTGCCAGGAAGTGACATTCCTTACTACCTGTTAAGTCAGGGGCCCTATAAGCCAATTACAGGGCAGATCTCCTGAGGGGACTCTGTAGGCATTGACTCTGTAAGTAAGGTCAGTCTCAGTTCCCTAAAAATGCCTTGTAACGTCTAATTAGCATTAAACTGTAGATTCCTAATGTTGATTTTGTATCCTGCTACTTTGTTAAATTCTCTTACTGCTTTTAGTGTTTTCTCCATTCACTCTTTTGGTTTTTCCATAAGATGTTGGCTTTTGGTGTCTCTGTGTGTGTGTAATTTTAGAATAGAGGACTTTAGAGTGCCATTTCAGGGGACAGAGAGTGGAGGCTGAGAAATTGTGGGCTGCATTACAGGGTGAGCTTTTTCCTTGGGGTCTTCAGATTCAATATCATTAGGTCTTTTCTCTAGAGGGTCAAATTCCTGAGAAAAGGCTCTGTCAATCTCCCACCTGGAGGGTATAATCCTAGCTGCCAGCAATCTTTGAGCTAGGCTTGTGGAGACTGGGGGTCTGAACATTTAGTACACAAACTTTCATTAGTTATAAACTTGCTAAATCCTCTGTTTTCAAAATAGTACTCCCACGCTTAACAAAGTCTGGGTTTCCCCATATAGAGATCTTCTGTTTTACCCTTTCTACATAATAATCCTCTAATAAGGAGCAGATCCCAGTTTTGTGAGGCTTAGGCAATTTTGGGGATTTCTTTGAAAGAAAGAATAAGAACAAATTACTTTTGCAAATAATAAGACCATTTGAGCACGTTGCTTAGGCCACTCCCAGGGCATTGGAATGTTACCAGGTGGAAACAAGTTTTGCTCACCATGACTAGAATCGGCCAGTAAACGAGAAACCGAGGTGGGAGAGTGTAAAGGTGCCTTTATTTCCTCAAGCAAGGATGGAAGCAATCCGGCCTGTTGCCGCCCTGACTGCTTGGAGAGGGCAAGGGGAAAAGAAGTTACTTTTAAGGGGTTTACGAGTAGGCAGTTCATACCAGTTATGTCAGCAACATTCTTAATCATACCACGCACGCGCCAGGAGTTTCACGGGACAGGCCAAGCAAAGGAACTGCAATTCTGATTCAGATTGTGAGGCCGGCCAGCAACGGAACCGGAAATGGCCAGGCCAGCCAAGCAAACTGCAATGGAATTTTCTGCAGCCTGGGAACCTGTATTAGAAAAGGACCTGTGCAAGTGCAGGCCCTTGAAACTAAAGACTGCTTAATTTTGTAGGAAATCCAGTTTAGCCTCCAGTCTTCCCTGAGGTGGATGGGTGAAATGGCTTAGTTGTGTAGAATTAGCAGGAGCGGAGTACCCAATCCAGATCATCTGTAGTGAACAATTTCACATTTTTTCCCCACATCAGTGATTCTGCTTCTAAGTATGGCTGGCATCTGTCTGTCTCCCAACCCCACAGCAGGTTACTACAGAATCAAAGTCTCTTTTCAATTTACAATACCTGACAGGGACGGATTACCCAGTAAGCAAGGTAAGCACGGGTTTACTTGTGTGTTTACTTACTAATGTGTAGTGCACACTTTCATGTTTTTACAAACGTGAAATCGTGCACTATAGTAAGCACAAGTAAAACATGGGAAATTGCATACTACAGATTAGTAAACTCAAGTAAAACGTGAAATTGTGCACTACAGATGAGTAAGTAAGCACAAGCCCGTGTTTACCTTGTTTACTGAGTAATCCGCCCATGAGAGTTAGGGAGGGATTTGGTGGTCTAAATCTCAAACAGAATGTGAATCAAAAAGACCTTTACCACACTCTTAGAGACACCTGATAGTGTCAATTCCTGAGCCTATTAAGGGTTTTTAAGCTGTAAAAAGATTCCTTCTTGGCTTTCTCCATTTTTGGCCTAGTTTTCAGCTTTCTTAGATATACCAGCTCAGTTTTCATTTATCCATCAGCTTTTCAGCATTCCCAAATACAATGCTGTCGTCTCTTTTACCATTCTTCTTATAGAGTTTATGCATTTTAAAAAAAAACCTCTTCCCCTTTCATTTTAAGTTTCAGAAAGGAGTAGAGATGTGCCCAACCTGTTATTCTTAACCCAAAGTCAGAATGTACCAAATCACACTTCAAAACTGCCCCCCAAAATGCCTGGACCACTTTACATTCCTAGCAGCACAGCATGAAAATATCCATTACCACGTACCCTTGCCAAGCTCTATTCTCAAAATTTCCCAGTCAGGTTAGTGTAAACTATCTCATTATTTTAATTTGTATTTCCCTAATTACTAGTGAGGCTCAGCCTTATTTTATATGTTTACTGGCTGTTTGTGTTTCCTTTTCTATGAATGTGTTCATATAATTTACCCATTTGACTAATAGGAAGTTTACATTTTTCTAAACAACTTATAGATGTTCTTTGTATTTGCTAAAATTTTTTTTCTGTTACATAAGTTGTGAATTTTTTTTTTTCTAACCTCTGTTTTATAAACATTTTTATGGCATCTAGTTGTACAGACATTTTAAATTTTGATGTACTTTTGCTTTTTGTTTCTTTTTTTTGCAGATCGTCCTATCTTAAGGTCTTAAAAATGATCACTTAAATTTTCTTCTAATACATGTGTGGTTTTGTTTTTCAAACTTAGGTCTTAAATCCATTTGGAATTTATTTTTTATGATGGCAGGGACCTTTTTTCTTCCCATATTAACAACTGGAACATTTACTGCATACCTCATCTTTTACTCGTTGGTTTGAAATGCCATATTTATTAAATACTAAAGGCTTATATGGGTATTTTTCTGTTTCAGGATCTTCTATTCTTTCCATTGATTTGACATCTTATTTATCACAAGCTTTTCAAAACTGTACTTCATACAGCAAATGTTGTAAGAAATTGAATGGAAATTTGCTAACTTTATTAAAAAAAAATTATAGACTCAAATAAAATGTCCACTTTAATATTTATTACACAAATGTTTACTTACAGTTACCAGAAAATTATAGAAGGACAATTTGTGCGTGTTTCATTCATATTACTATCCACATAAGAACAAATATACATTAACATTTATTCAACTCTATCAGGATAACACACAAAGTTTTTGTTTGTTTTAGACTTTCCAGTTTAAAAGAAACATCAAATAAGGAAGAAGAATTTCCAAAGATTTAATACTAACAATACAAATAATTATTTCTAAATGTCTTACATTTTGACAACTTTGAATTATACTTACATGTTAATATTCCCCCAAATCATATATTATAAAAAGGGTCACTGTCAGGGTGAAAATATATTTTTTAAACACTTTTTAAAATATGCTATTATATATGTTTTAACATGTGATTTATTCTTGGCACATGTGGCATCTTGGAAAGTAAAAATACACTTTGCCAATTTTATGCTATTGTGCAGATATAACAGAAAAACCACAGTTCGGGAGGCAGACAAACCTGTGTTCAAATACCAGCTTCGTGCCCAAAGTTGTGTCAGCTTTGTCAATTATATATCTGGCTGGGGCCAGGATCAAACAATGCACATTAAAAATGCCTAGCATGTGCACTCAATGAATGATAGATTCTTTCCCCAATTTATTCATTTTGAAGCATAGCAAAATATCAGTCTTATGTTATGGTACGATTTGAAAAGGTAAAAAAAAAAATCAGGAAATTAAAATATAAAATCAATGTGTTTTGAAGAATTGCACTTTTAGTAAATAAGGAAATCCTTCAGCAGGCTTAAATATTTCCTAATGAAACTTAGTGCCTACTATACCCTAATTTAAAAAAAAAAGTCCTATAGTATGATAAAATGGTCAATGATTAAGGACTTTTGGTTTTCTTTTGTGCTACTGATATAAAAATAATGGCTATATTTAAGGCTTATTAAGTGATTGTAGTTGCCCTGAACCAAAACTATATTCTTGATGTTGCATCATCAGTTGAAAGAGATCTACTGCCTTGAATGACCATCATAGAGAAACTCCCATGATATTCTGCACTTAAGCAAATCATGGCCTCCTTTCTGATTCTAAGTCAAGGCTCATTTGGTGGTATGTGGCAGTACAGCTCATCTCTCATTAAGGATGATTTATATACACAATCACAACCCCATCTTTTTCATGCTAAATACATGGTGCTTGGAAGATACGGGGTTCCTGGAAATTCAACTGTCACAGGAATAGTCTACTCTAGACAGCAATGCTTATTTACATCCATATTCTCAGCTCTTTTTGTTTCCTACCCCGACCACTAACAAATCAACCTTCCAAAAAACCCCTCCTCTAGGAACCTTTTCCTCTCAACCTTCGAAGCCCTCCATTTATATCCCTTACATTCATGTATACTTGACATTAACTTCAACTTCTATATATTACTATTACTCATGTTTTATGTTTGCCTTCAACCTCCAGCTAAAATGTAGTCTATTTTACTTTTTAACCTTCCACAGTGTTTAGCACAGTGCTGTGCATATATGTGTATGACTCTGTGTGTATATATATGTATGTGGTGTGCGTGTGTGTGTACTGAATGAATACAAAACTAAAAAACCTGAGTGGCTGTAGGGTAGAAAAAAATTTCAATTCTTCAGAAATCAAAATTGCTGGAATCTCTTAATTATTAAAAAAACTGACTTCTAAAACTGTATCGGTGTGGTTTTAGGCATGTCAATAATAAAAAGGCAGTGGAAAAAAAAGTTTAAAAAACCTTTATGAAATATTCCAAAAGGATTTTAATAAATTATTGTTAAGAGCACCAAACCAAAACATTTTACTAAATAGTGGTATAACCTTTCCTATGACTTTACAAATGTAGACTTCTTTTCATTCCACACAAAGAATACTGAACAAGAAATAAGTGTTGTGGATCAGGATAAAAAAGGCAATTCAGTCTGTCAACATCTAATGCACATTTTGTAATTAATTTGAAAAGCCTTCTGTGGTACATATGCATGTCATGTTAACTAAAAGAACGGGTTGTATCAAAATACTGTAGGTTGCTATAGTTGTTTTGATACTATCAAATATGACACATATACTGAAGTTGCTATTTAACAAGAAAAATTTTGTTCAGAATAGCTGTTAATACTAAAATAGGATATAATAAAAAATTATTCTCAATGTGTATATTTTCAAGTTTGCCTGACAGTGTCCTTTTGAGAAATCTTACAATTTTAGTTAGATTACAGACATTTAAATTTCACTTTTATGACTGAAAATACTACACTGCATAATAACAAACAACAATATATATAGTAGCTTTTTACTGAAGCACTTCTGCAGTTCATATTTAAAGCTTTGCAATAAAACAAAAATTGTACTTTTCATAAAATGACACAACATGTAATGTATGCTATAATTACATAAAGAATAAATAAATGAAATGAGGCATAAAAAATTCAGGCCCATAAAAATGGAATATTTTAGCTGTCCTTCTAAATGCTAGTTTATATGTTTGTATTGAGTTCAGATGTATTTTAAATCCAAGAACCTTTAATCTTTAAATTATATACTGAAAAAATCAAGTTTGGAATACAAACATAAAACTCTTTTTCAATATATGCCTTTTTTTTATAGGTCATCTAGGAAATAAAATTAAGACAAATGGAAAGCAAGGATAGTTCTTTCTCTTCCTGCAAAATACCACGTTGCTTCCCCATATATTTCTATGTAGTTTCTAGGGAAAACATTAAAAGGTGACAAGTTTGGCAAATTATAAGCTTATTTTAGTAATAAAGAAAGAAAACTTTAAACAAAGAATTTCCTTTTTTGGCTTATTCATTTTCAATTTTTTCTCTAATATACAGTAGTATTATAAAAGCACTTCTTGAAATGCTCACTGTTAATCATTTTAAACAGCACAAAATAATGGATTAGTATAGAATCAGTCATAACAGAGTATCAATACATACTATGGTGAGGACCTAGAATTTGTTACACGAAGGGCTAAACTTGCAAGGGATCTCATGGCAAAAGTAGAGACTTTGTGACACATACCGGCTTTTGAAATATAGTTGGAAGCCAATCGAAAAAGCCTCTCAGCTCCAAAGGTATTGAAGTGCCCAGGAAGCACCTTCTCTACCAGACCTCTGTCCACTAATTCTATCAGCCGTTCACAGGTTCCAACATAGTCACTTATCCTGCTGTATGGGAGCCAGTCAATCAGTGATCCATCATACAGGACGTCTCCACTGAAGAGAATCTTTCGGTCTTTGTCATGTAAGCAAATACTGCCTCTGGAGTGTCCAGGCATATGCATAACAGTCAGCTGTCTGTCACCAAGGTTGATCACATCCCCTATAAATGGAAACAGAGTATACAGATAAACATATTGCATATGTTACTCATTTAAGGAATAGAAGAACACTAAATGGTTTCAAAGAGGTTGGGACAGATGACACATATTTTACTTGATATTTCATCATATTTCTTAATGATGGTTTTAAAATAAGTTGACTATAAATCATTTCTATTGTTTGCTAGACCAGTGTCTGGCAAAATGAGTAACATGTAACACTAGTTCTGTAGGTTGTTATGATATGTAAAAGAAAAGAAGATTCTGTGGTCAAATAATTTGGGGAAACTTCAAAGAAAATTAAATAGCTTTCTTTACTGTAAAACTTCTTAAAGATATTAATATGCTAATGTACACTGAGGACATATAAGAGGTAGGTACAGTTTTAGAATTTTGCAAACTTAATTGACCACCAAACTTCCATTTTTCAGAATATTCCAGTATCCTGTTGAAACAATTTATGAATGCAACTCTAGTGAAGAGTATTCTATTTTTGGTCCTGTGTCACTCTGTGGGAATTGGGCTTGAGGACTCAGTGCAAATTGATGCTGTGGCTACTGTTATTGGGTAATAAACTGTCCTTTGTCTCTGACCCAGTCCCCTCATGTCTTCTGTCAGAATACTTTAAACTGTGGCAGGCTAACTTGCTAGTTCTCAAGTAGGGTAAAATCTTCTCTTCACAGTTCTTGATCTCCATTGCCTTCAAGTCGATTTTGACTTATGGTGACCCTATAGGACATAGTAGAATTGCTCCATAGGGTTTCCTAGGCTGTAATCTTTATGGAAGCAGACTACCATATCTTTCTCCCATGGAGTGGCTGGTGGATTCGAACCAGTAACCTTTCGGTTAGCAGCCAAGTGCTTAACCAGGACCCCTTTTACAGTTCTTGATAGTGGGGAGAAAATAGAGCTATACGGGTGCAAAACTGCTGTTTTACTGGATTTAAATCAGTACTAACTTGAAGTAAATTGTGGTAAGTTAAAGTTCCATATTGTAATCTCTAGTACAAACACATACACACACACAGAAAAATGGTATAATAATCATGATTTGTTGAACATAAAAGAGGACGTAAAGGAAAAACAGGGACCAAAAGAAAAAAAGACATACAGAAATAAATATCAAAATGAAAGCCCTAACTAAATCCAACTATATCAATAATTACTTTAAATATGAATGGACTAAACTCTCCAATCAAAGGCAGACATTGTCAGACTGGATTAAAAAAAGCAAGACTATACGTAGTCAACTACAAGTAGTCTACCAGAAAGGGACTATAAGAAAAACAAAAGTCGGTTGAAAAAGTTATACCATATAAATATTAATCATAAGAGAACTAGATTGACTATATTAATATCAGATAAAATAGATTTTAGGCATGGAATATTACTAAATAAAAGAGGTATGTTTTATAAGGCAATATAATAGGCTAATACATTTAAGAAAATGTAAAAATTATAAATGTATGTGCACCTAAAACAGAGACCAGAATGCTTGAAGCAAAAACTGGCAGAATTGAAATAAGAATAAAGAATTATGATTAAAGATTTCAGTATTTCTTAGTAATTGATAAAACAAGTAAACAGAAAACAGTAATGATACAGAAGACCTGAACAACTCTATCAACTTGACTTAACATATATTGAATGCTTTACTCAAAAATAGCAGAGTACATTTTTTTCTTTGCACATGGAATATTCACCAGGATAGACTATATGCCAGGCCATAAAGAAAGTCTTAATAAAATTAAAACAGATAAATCATACAAAGTGTGTTTTCTTGTGATGACATAATTTAATTAGAAATAAAAAATAAATATGAGAAATCCTCAAATATATGCAAAGTAAACAACACATTTCTACATAACTCATGGATCAAAGAAGAAATCATAAGGTGAATTAGGAAACATCTTGAATTGAACTGAATGAAAATGAAAACAAAACATCAAAATTTGTGAAATGTAGCTGAACAAGTGCTTAGAAGACAATTTATTGCTTTAAAAGCTTATCCATAAAGGATTAAATGTTTAAAATTAATGATCAAAGTTACTTACAGGAATTAGAAAAAGAAAGGCAAATCAAACACAAAAATAAGTATTAAGAAAAAATGATAAAGACCAGAGTGAAAATAAATGAAATAAGAAACAAAAGTCAATAGAGAAATAAATGAAACCAACAACTGGTGCTTTGAAAACAGCAACAAATTGATACATCTTTATCTAGACAAATTAAGAAAAAATCAGAGAAGACAAAATACTCCAAAATCAGGAATGAAAGAGACAGACCCTAAAGAAATTAAAAGGAGCATAAGAAAATATTATGAACAACTTTAAGCCAACAAATTTGATGACTTAGGTAAAATAGGCAAATTCTTAGAAAGAGATAAACTATGAAAATTGATCCCAGAAGAAACAGAAAATCTAAATAGATCTATATCAAATAAAGAAATGGATTTAATAATTTAGAATCTTTACACAAAGAAAAGTCTAAGTTCAATGATAGCTTCATTGGTGAATTTCTATCATATATTTAAGAAAAGGATAATATTAATTCTATATAAAGACTTTCAAAAAACAAAGGAGAAGGGAAAACTTTCCTTCTCAATTTTATCAGGCCAATATTATGTTGATAACAAAGCCAGACAAAGATAACATAAGAAAAATACAGACCAATATCCTTAATGAATATAGTCTCAAAATCCTTACCAAAATATTGGCAAACTGAATCCAGCAGCTCATAACAAGATAACCAAGTGAGTTTTATCCTAGGAATACAAGTTTGGCTTAACTTCTGAAAATTAATGTAATATACCATATTAGTAAAATAAAGGAGAAAAGCCACATGACAATCTCAACAGAGGCAGAAAGAACATTTAACAAAATCAAATCTTCATTCATGATAAAACTTTCAGCAAACTAGGAATAAAACGGAAAGTCCTAAACTTGATAACGGGCATCTACAAAAAACATCTTACTGAATAGAAAGACTGAATGCTTTCCATCTAAGATCAGGAACAAGGCAAGGATATCTGTTCTTATCACTTCTATTAACCATTGTATGAAAGGTCTTAGTCAATGCAATCAGCCAAGAAAAAGAAAGCAACATCATACAGGTCAGAAAATAAAAAGTAAATCTGTCTGTATTCATGAACAACATGATACTATATGAAGAAAATCCAACAAAATCTAGCAAACTAAAACTAAAGCAAGTTTAGTAATGTTGCAGGATACAGGATCGACATGCAGTAATCAATTGTATTTCTATATCTAGCAATGAATTATCAGCAAGATTTAAAAAAAAAAATTCCATTCACAGCAGCATCAAAAACAATAAAATACTCAGGAATCAATTTAACAAATACATCCATATACTGTCTACTGAAAACTACAAAAACACTGTTGAGAGAAATTAAAGAAGAGATATGCAATGTTCATTGATGGAAAAATTCAATTTTGTTAAAATGATAATGTTATGGACTGAACTATGTCCTTGAAAAATATGTGTTGTAAATCCTAACCTCTATGCCTCTGGTTATAATCCCATTTGGGAATACGTTGTCTTTTTTATGTTAATGAGGCAGGATTAGTGTAGGGTGCTCTTGAGTCAATCCCTTACAAAATATAAAAAGAGCAGATTAAGCAAACCAAGATGGGGAAAGATAGATGCCATGACACATGGAGATCTCCATGGAACCAGGACACAGAGGCTGAAGAGACAATGAACTTCCCCCAGAGCCGACAAAGAGAGAAGCCTTCCCCTAGAGCTGGCACCCTGAATTCTGACTTTTAGCTTCCTAAACTGTGAGAAAATAAATTTGTTTGTTAATCCTCTCCACTTGTAGTATTACTACAGCAGCACTAGATAACTAAGACAGATAATTTACCCCATTTTTTTCTATAGCAACACCGTACAATAGAATATTCTGCAATGATTTAAATGGTCTGTATCAATACTGTATAATACAGTAGTCAAAGTGACATGTGGCTAGTAAGCACTTGAAATGAGTCTAGTGCAACCGAGGGACTAAATTTTTAATATTAATTAATTTAAATTGCCACACGTGGCTAGTGGCTACGGTATTGCTTAATGCAGTTCTATAGATTCAATACAAATCTCAATCAAAATCTCAAGATGCTTTTTTGTAGCAATTGAAAATCTGACTCTAAAATTTATACAGAAACGCAAAAGACCTAGAATAGCCAAAGGAATTTTGAAAAAGAGGAACCAAGCTAGAGGACTTACACTACCTGGTTTTAATCCTTATGATAGAGCTATAGTAATCAAGACAGTGTGGGACTGGTGAAAAGACAGGCATATAATCAATGAAGAGACTAGACAGTCCAGAAATAGATGTTCACATATATGGTCAAAGGAATTTTTACAAAGGTGCCAATGAAGGTAATTCAATGGTAAAGGATAGCCTTTTCAACAAACTGAGCCTGAACACTTTAGATTTTCATCCATAGGCAAAAACAAAAAAAATTCCTTCAACCCTTACCTTGCAATATTGATAAAAATGAACTCAAAATGGATCATAGACCTAAATGTGAGAGCTAAAATTATAAAACTTCTAGAAAAAATATAGGGAGAAAATCTTTGTGATCTTGGGTTAGACAGAGTTCTTAGATATGACACAAAAAGCATAAAATATAAGGGAAAAATGACTAGATTTCATCCAAATTAAAACCTTTCATGTTCAAAAGTTGCAATTAAAAAAATGAAAAGGAAAGCCACACTGGGAGAAAATATATGCAAAACATATATCTATTAAAGGACTTATATCCAGAATATACTAATAACTCTAAAAACCAATAAAACAAGAAAAATAACCCATTTAAAAACAGACAGCATCAACAGATGACTGGATAAAGGCAATGTGGTACATTCTTATAATGGAATATTTATTAATTTATAAGAAGAAATGAAATTCTGATACATCCTATGACATGGATGAACCCTGAAAACACTATACTGAGTAAAGTAAGTCAGACAAAAAAGGACA